CCGCCTAATGACCAAGTAGTTGAAACCCTGCCTGGACTGTTGCTTTAAGTAGCTAACGCAAGCCACCTGAAGCGGGCACAACCAGGCATCAGGCTTAAGTCCCGCTTTCAAGGTGCTGGAATGAGCGCTGCTTCTGGCGTAGGCCATAACACTGTGCTAGCCAGGAAAGGTCATTAGGCCAACCCGGCCAAATGAAATGAAGTACGCAACATGAGACGCTGAACTCAAATCTGCTTTCACTATCTGCTGAACTCTTCTCTGAAAGGAGTTACGGAGGGTTTTTGTTGCCGCCCTTGATTTTCAGTGTTTTACCTGCAATCACATGTTAGCTGCATTATAGAAGTATCGAAAGAAGAGCCGAGACCTTGACGGCATGAGTTTCGGTAGCGCAGTGGGTAGCGGTGTTGCTTCACACGCAGGTGGTCGTGGGTTTGGCTCCCTGGAATCGTGTTTTTCCTTTTTCCATTATGGCTAAAAGAGACTTTTGTATCGTTTAGTCTTATCAACGGTCGCCCGACGCTACATCTACGAAGAGTTTGCAAGCAGACCCTCTTAAACTTAAGCACTACTTGTCTGTGAAAGCCTATGGTGCCCGTAGTGCAGGTGCTATGCTTTTCCGTGGCAAGTAGGTATGATATTCGTATTCAGGGGATCAAACTACCTTACAGCGAGTTTTTCGCCAAATCTGAGGCGACGAACTAATTGAGAAAAAGCGGAGCAGTGATGGGATTACCACTCCTCAAACTCCACTTTTTTGGGTTGACCAATCATGGACGACGGGGGAAGGGGAGAGAAGGTGTTGTATTAGGAAATAATGCTTTGCAGATCTTTGGATGATGCAGACGGGCAAGCCAGACACAATTTTTGTCTATTAAAGTGTTTAAAAGGTTTATTCTACCCAAGTGCCAGCCTTTTGTAATGGATTGGTGGATCGGTGAGTAAGTGACTGCCCAAATTTTCGAGGTTAGGTCAAAATTTCAGAATTCGCTAGAAGTTCGCTCAAAGGGAGAGTCTGACTCCCTGATTACGAATATCATACTTGTTCGAAGCAAAAATGCCTGGCGCCTGCGCTACAAGCTCGACCCAAGTTCGTTATTATTGCCTTAACCTTTGCTGCTGGTGCGGCAACAACGTGTGTCCTCACTTCGGTAGGAGTTTTGTACTGGCAATATTTGCGCCATTTATCGCCGTAAAAAATTTCTGTCATGTCCAAGTTTTCCTCGCGGCGGCCGGGGATCGAGTCCTATATCGCTCGTTGTGATCCCAAGCCTTGCATCCTCCTGGAGTCGGTGAATTGGTACAGACAGTCTGGACGTGCATAGGACTGTGTCCCCCAACAGGCCCACCGCGCGGCGAAGCAAGAGACGCAGATGCGGCAAAGAGACGAGTTGCAGCGCGTGCTGTGCGATATGAGACGTAGTATGGTACACTCTCTTTAACCTGACGCCTAACCGCTACAGTATGCGCTGCGACTCGTCCCTTTGCCGCGTCTGCGTCTCTTGCTTCGCCGCGCCTGTTGGGGGACACCCATATAAAACACTACAGGGTGGACATAAATATAGCGATCAGAGTAAACTACAGCAAATGCATTTACTCACCCATAAGCAGACTCGACGCCTTCAGATTCGCCTTATCTTTTTATATAATTCTATGGTTTCATTGATTTCATTCCTCATTTGGTGAATGCCCAGATCAAAACGAATGGGATTTCTAGTCTCACGCGCTGCCGGATCAATTCTTTGCAAGATCCACCGTATCCGAAAGATGCATCGGCAGACCGTCGAACGACTGTCTATCGCAGTACACACAACGGCCTTTCTCTCCAAGGACGATCGGTTACGGAAGCCAAAGGGTGGCTGCGAATATGTATAAGTCAAAAAACGTATCTAGCACCAGTTCGTAGGGGCGGAAGTGGTGTAGTGACAAGTGGCGCGCTCACCACGCGAGCGGGTCGGGATCAAATCCTGGGTCGTGAGTCGCCCGGGCCAACCAAGCCTTCCATCCCTCCGGGGTCGGTTAATTGGTACCAGACTTGTCTGGGAGGATAAAAACACTGACTTGAACATCGGCTGGCCCCCGCAAGTCATTGTATAGGCCACATCGCATTCAAACGCCACTGCGAATGTACAAATGGAAGTAGAATGCGTGCCGCATCCCAAAAAGGGATTGATCAACGGCAAATGCTTTATCCTTTTATTTTTATCCCTTGGTAGAGGGGCCATGTTAGAATGGGCCTACATTGATGCGGCAGATTAGGATAAATGTCGCAAGGGGTTTTGCAGAGGAAACATGGAACACAAAGTTATAAACACTATAGACGGCAAGCTCTCATGGATATCAAGTGGGAGAGCGGTTAAAAATATCGAGGGCTTGGGACGCGGGCCGCGAAGGGAGCGCGCATGTGCACCGACGAGAGAACCTCTGGTATTTCTCATGAGCGGTTGCCTTTACTCGAGGAAACTCAGAAATAATTACTAGAAGTTTTCAAGAAACTAGAAGAGCTAGAATAACGCATATCGAATACAAGCTCCTAGTTCAGCGATGATATGAACATAAGTAGCTACTTCTTTATCTCAATTGGTTTTCGCCTGTGGGCGAGTAGAATTTTGAGCCAAACGTTATCCAAGATAGCATTTAGAGGAAGCTTGTCATCTTCGCCACTAAAAACGATTAAATTCACTAGCAAGGCGATATGCCCGCTCATGGATTGAATTTTGTGAAAGTCTGCTGCACACCCCATTTGCCGACTTTGAGTTGCATCCGAAACCTCCGGTTTGAATGTAGCGGATTGTTTATTGTGGTCGATATTGAAGAAGTCCGCGAAGGATATGAAGGTATTGAAGATGTGTGCAATTATTTTGCCACCATACACATGCCTCACCCAGTAATGCTGCGCTGCTGGTCTCACTACTTTCAGCTGGGAACCCACTGTATGAGACCGACGTCGACAAGCGACAAGCGATGTCCGTCGCCGAGTGTGGCGTCGGTCTGAACCAAATCGCATTCCGAAATACCACTACTTTTTGAATGTAAAATGTGCGGCGCATCCACTTAAGGCATTGATCTAATGTCGGACAAATGTCGAATGCTTCCATTTACTTTTTTCATTTACTTACTTTTTTTTCATTTTCATTTCATTTACTATCACTTTTGGGTCTCATCCGGTAAGAGGGGGCATTGCGGTGCACGGTCTGCTCTAATGCCAATTTGGCTCAAGGAGTCCTTTAAAGTTACGAGCTGCTATCAGCTTTTTTCCTATGTTATTTCTTCAGGTGTTTTGTGTAATGTATGTATTCTTGTACTAGATGACATTAACGTCTACGAAAGTAATATTCACCTAGTTAGCAGGTCAGGACTAAGCCTAGGAGGGGGAGGAAGTCCCCCCGGGGAAAACCAAGATTGCTCACGGACCCGGGGCTCCTTCCCTTCTAGGGCTTAGTCCTGAACGTCTACAATAAAATAATGTGCTTTCCATGGTTTGAAATGCTCTAGATCGCTATGCCCCCCCCCCTTACTGGATGAGACCCCACTTTTGTTCCCCTGCAACCGACAAGACCCCTCTGCCCTGCTCAGGTTTTGAGCCTTCCGCCTTCTTATGAGTTCTACACCTGGCAGAAAGAATTCATACTCATAAATAGGACATCTGGTATGGTAAAGAATCTCGCCGCAACCACTACATGACATTGCAAGAATTCTTTAGCACTAACTTGGCCTCAGCTATTGGTTTATTTTTGTCCTTTCTTGTATCCCCTTTCATTTGGGACGGCTACGTCATATGGAATGGCAGAGTGGGTGTTTTTGTAGTAGTTGGAGTTTCTTGCCGTAATAATGACATCATGCTATAATGAACCCACAGCCGGAACACCTACAACCCAAACAATGCAAAGGCGAGGGCCGGTGGGGTAATTTGCGCGTAACTTTTGCGTATGGTACGGCGACCTGCAGATACACGCAGTTTATGGTTTGGACACGATGTATCGAGAAATCCCCGCGGACTCACACACAGGTATTCAGGCTTCCAGATAGAAGCTTTTCAAGTCGTGACAGTATCGACGACGTCAGTCATTAAAGCCAATCGAGAGGTTAATTACAATTATACTCGTCAAAATCCGGTGGCAATTTTGAGCTCCCTCATCGATTTCGTCGTGCTACTTCTATCTATACAGTTGTGATTCATTCCAACTGTTTGTGCTTTATCTTTCTTTTGTTTTATTGTTCTTGTCCGTATGTATCCAACAAACAGAACGTTATATTAGTAGACGATTTTAACCTTATATTCGAGTGGGAAATCCCAGGCTGTAATATTTGTAGGGACTCCATTTCATGTAACTAATAAAGTGTACGAAAACGTGGCGATGTGTAACGAATGAGCCAACGTTACCATGGAGCAGAACTTCACTACGAGGAAGGTGTTAACGATTGATGAGTAATACTAGTAACTTGGGCTCTCCATTCCAAACAAATCTACTTACTTTATTTCGAGCCTTAGTCGTTCGATTCTGATACTCTCATTCTTGCCCTCAGTAGCTTAATGCCTTGACACAAATAGCTGGTAGTGCTTCGCAACCACCGCTCTTAGCTCGCGACTTGAGAGATTCGGCGATTGAGCGGTTGATGAGTGATGGGCGGTAGGCGTTCCTGCTGAAAGGAATCCATACACATCGTGCACATGAATGCTCTGTCGCCAAGATCCCCTGGAGTGGAGCAATTTAATTGATGTGCACCTAGTCTTCTCAACGAAATGGGCTAACCGCTGGTCAAGCGAATTCCCAATTACCCAAGTTGCAGTCTATGAACGTACCTAAAGATAGTTGTTAATGTTTCATATTCCCTAATGCAAATTTGGACCATTCAATTTTGCTGCTGCTTGCCTGAATACTTCTGAGCGGTGGATGTTCTAGCTTTCTCGAAGATTTCTCTCATTTTTCTCTTGCGTTTTCGCTACTGACCGGATCTGTTGTGGTGGTGTGTGTTATTTATTATTTGAATTTTTGGAGGTTATGGGGCATCGCAAAGATCGTAAAGGTCAGCCCAACAGTCGTGGTGGGACAGCTGGAGGAGTGACAAATCAACGCAATACATTGGCTGTGAAGGCAGAGACAGCCATTGGTGACCAGCTTCTTCCAGGTTCACACTTTAATTTCATTCACTGCTTTCGGAACCGAATAAACCCGACGAGTGGTTTTGGTTACATGTTTTTTTTTTCAGGGCGTCATCCCTGTAAATGTCAGGCTCGAATCCATGCTCTTGTAAGAAATTGTATGGGTTGTGGAAAGATCGTTTGTGTACAGGAAGGTAGTGGACCATGCTTTTTCTGCGGCAATCTTGTCTGCACAAAGGAGGAAAAAGAGGTGATGATGCCAACTTTAGCAGGTCCGGAAGGTGGGCTTGGTCCCTGGTATCTCGATTCATACTGATCTTTTCGTCGACATACATTTGATTAAGAAAGCAATTGCAGATCTTGGACCGCGGCTCTCGAAAAAGTGCTGAACTTTACTCACAATTAATGGGATTAAAGAAGGAGAAAAGTGGTACCAACGAGTCCTCCCTCTCTGCTATAGGAGCTGAGTTCCAGAAAGCAACTCAATTCAGAAACAAGCTTCTCGCCGCAGACGCCGATTCGTAATACTTCCATTTCTTAATCAATTGTTAATTTTCTTAATCAAATGAATAGGCTGGGTTCACTGCAACTGCGAACGCTAACATCTTCTCAGTGGATCGGAATTCGTATAATTCATGCAAATTCGTGCGATGAGGCGGGATTTGACAGGCGCTAACTTTAAGTCTTTATCAGCATCTCTTTGTAATTTCTCATCATAAGTCGCTAATCTGGGCATGATTCCATCATTGGAATAGATATATTG